TCTCCCTCTTTTCTCTCTCTCCTTCTTCTTGTTTCACGTCGTGTGGTCTGAATGTCACCTTGTGTGCATATCTGTCTCGCGATGTGTGTTTCGTGCGACTTACCACTTTTTGTCAACTTTTAACTACTTGCGTGCACGCAATAACCGGCGTAGCAATAGTACTACGACCGTGTGGCTGTGCTCGAAGCCTGTGCTTTCCTTACTTAACGCTTTCTTTCTTTCTTTCTTTCTTTCTTTCTTTCTTTCTTTCTTTCTTTCTTTCTTTCTTTCTTTCTTTCTTTCTATCTTCTTCCCTATCATCTTTGGTCTTAAGATGTATCCGTATCCTCCAAGGGGTCCGTGCCATTACTGTCGTCAGCATGGCCATTGGATTCGGGATTGTCAGTTACGCATCCATAATGAAGCGAATAGTGAGGGAGGGATTAATGGTAATTTCGGCAATAACGGTGCTTCTTCTTTTTCCTCGGGTGGTGCTCCGAGCTTATCGATACCGGATGCACCGGCTCCGAATAACGGCCAGCAAGGAGGCCAGAACTTCCAGCAGCCATACCGAAGACCGTGGCAGGGAGGATATCGTGAGCAAGGGAACTACCGGGGAAAGGACGACCGTGTCGATAAGATGTGGGGTTATATCAACAAAGAGATGGAGGAGAAAGAGTGTGCGGCCAGAGAGAAGGAGAAGAAACTAAAGGAGGATGAAGAAAAGAAAAGATTACAGGAGCAGGAAGCGAGGAGACTGGGGAAACAGGAGGAGAAGACCGAATTTCAGACAAGTTTGGGAAATCTGATTAAAGGATCCATGACCGAAGTTTGCGAGTCGATTTGGGAAAGAAATCGTATCCACCGAAAACGTCTGTGCCGAAGCAAGTGCCGAATCCCGAAGACAGGCAATCGCTGCAGGAAAAAGGCCAGTAGGAGAGAAAGGCACTGAGACGAAGAATGAAAAGTTAAGGAGAGAAAACAAAGAGATGAAGATTGTCATGCGCATCAGCTTGGTCGACAAAGAGATCGAGTCACTTAAGGAGAACTCGACACTCTCGAGGGACTTGCTTGCTTTGAAGGAGGAAGTTAGTAATTTGATGAATGGGTGCCGCAAGAGGGGTTCGGTAGTCGTTACTGAGAAGAGTCCGCCTAACGAGCGGCGCGAGTAAGAATGAAGAGGAACGAGTGGGAGCTCACTCCAGGTGACGTGGCCAAGATGGCCGATGCTTATAAATGCCTACGTGATGATAAGGATTATGCCGAGAGAGAGGTCGCTGCCTTGAAGGAACGGATTAATCGACTGAAGATTCGGACGTCACCACCAGTGGTTAGAAGAAGGTTCGCTTTAAGAAGCGTGCAGCCCACGAATCTTCGTAAGAAGATGACAGGACTCGCTGTTGAACACGAAGAAGAAACGGAGTGTAGCCAAGCAAAGGTGAGGTTCGAGAAACGAGCTGACGAAACTAGGGCGATTTTCACGAAGAGAGTGTTCGCTAAACTGAGCAAGTTGCGCAAGAATGATCTTGAGAAGTTATGTTTGGAAGGTCTTGCTTACACCACGATTCGGGGCTCGTCGGCTGATTTGGCTGAGAGGTACGCTGGGTTTGCTTTTCCGAAACCAAGAAGGAGATTGGGTTTAGATGATGAGAAGGAACTCGAAGAAGAAGACCAAGAGTTAGTCGATGTCGTTGGCTGAGAACTTGGCGATGAGGAAGAGGTTAGTACCGACTGCTAGGGTTCCTCTCCGAGCATTGGTGATTTTCGTGATTGTAAGGATTTGGCACTAACATGCAGAGATTTGAGGAACGAAGGTTGGTTTTGGAAGGAAGGTAAGTATGGGATCATATTTAGGCTTGTTGTTATTCTCTTGGTTATTAGTAATCAAATTCTTTGGCTGAGTAAGTTTATTCCGTTTATCTCAACTTTGCTCCTCTCTCGCTATGATCTGATTCAATGTCCTGGTCCCGTAGTTTATGCACTTGTTTCCCCGTGGTATAAGCATATTTATATAGGTTGTACATCAAAAAGATTGGATGTCAGGTGGAAGGAACATCTATATAGAATAAGAGAAGAGGTTCCCGGTGAAGTCAGAAATCATAGATTGTATCGATGGCTTAGGACTCGTGGATCATTTTGATATGTTGCTATTCCATTGGTTGTAACCACCACTTCTGATCTTTCGACTTTAGAATCCTTCTTTAAGATCCTTTTCTCCTTTTCTGAATTCAAGAGTGTCTTGTTGCAGGAAGCATAGAACATGTAGACCTGGTAGAAGAGAACGTCGTAAGCAAAGACAACGTGCAGAGGGTTCCTCCACCTCCTTTTCTGCCCTTACCACTACTTCTATTTCTCCCCCTACATCTGATCACGCTATGCAAAAATGATTTGTAGTTTCTTTCACTTCCTCACTAGATTACACATCTTTCAGTCTCACGTCTGTTCTTGATCATGCCTTTCACTTAAAGGTTTCGAGCTTTGCCATCACATGTTTAGCGGGTCCCGAGTTTTATGACAAATGGAAGATTGTCAAGAGGTTGTACGGTTCATTTGTGGTCAGGTCGACTGTAGGCCTGGACTTGTTAAAGAACCGCAAGGAGTGGTTTTGTGCAAATAATGAAATTCACATTGAGAGGTTGTCGAGGTTTTGTTCTAGATTCGCGGAAGCCAAAGCTACGCTTGCTGGTTTGTTATCGAAGCCTATTACGAGGAAAGATTTGTACAAGTTTCCACTTGATCGACTGATAAGACTGTATTCGTCTATTAGGAGTTTTTCGAGCAAAACCACTAGGTTCTCACTTAGAGGTATAGTTAGTAGGGTAATTAGTAATAAGTTCAATGTTAGAATCCAGATTAAGTCGGTTATTAGGCTTTCCTATGATTCGCAGATTTCAAAGAGCAAGGTACGGGATTTGTGTGTGCAAATTGTAAAAAGGTCGTCGATTCGGAAGTCAATTCAGGATATTATCTGTAGGAAAGTCAAGGTCGTATGGACAAAAAAATAAGTCAGTTGGTGATTTTCTGTTTAGTTTTAGATTTTTTTCTTGTTATTCCGAACTACCGTGTGTCTGTATTGATTCTGGATTTCCCAGGGTTGGAGATCACGTTGCTTTTAGGCTGAGTGAATATGATGAGGTTCCCTCTTTTTTACGTAACTCTAAAAATATCCCATCTCCTGATCTTAAATCCAATCTCCCGAAAATAAGAGCAGCTATTTGCACATGTATTAAAGGGGTGCAGTCTGGCACTGGACTCTTTTCTATTTCTGAATCTGATCTGCAAGGGTGTGTCAAGTTGAGACCACAAGAAGAGAAACCAGCGTATTCACAAAATCAGATGTTGTTATGGAAGAAGAAATTTTAGAACTTCGTGATTTGTCCGATTGATCACAATATTAGTGATACGCTAGTATGTTGACCAACTTTTTATGAAGCGGGTATGAAAATTTTTTTTTGTGGACAGTGAGGGTTTTGATTTTCTGACTAGATCGCAGGATGAGATTCTGAGAAATATGGTTGACTATTACAGGAAGGAGAATTTTGACAGGATTGCTAAATTTAGCAAGAAAGGGAGTTTGGGTAAGGCATGCTGTATTCCGAAGCATTAAGATATTCGACGTTGGCGGCCCATATGCCCCTTCCACTCTGGCCCAACCACTAAAGTCTGTCATATTGTTTCCAAGGGTGTTAACTGCCTTCTATGGTCTCTTCCTTCTTCCCTACATTTCAATTTACGTGCTACTCGTGATATGAAGGACATAA